AGCCACTTGCCGATGCTCACACGCGTTCGCGCGATGCAGTCCATGCCGCCAACAGTGACTCACCCGCAGCCTTTGGATTTACCATCGTTTCTGGTCATAATATCGACCGACACGACAGGTCCAACCTTCTTCATATGATCACCGAGCTCATCTTCGGTAGTCTGAGGTGATCATATTGGAAGCCTCTTGGGAGTATTCGAGACGTAATAATACCAACTTACCGTCCAATCGAGATTGCCAACATAAACACACTTTTCCTGCGATGCCATACTGCTTCCTTTAAATACTTCTATCAATAACTATTAATCCGCTGTGTCGAAAGTAGCACTTGAGCGCCGCCCGCCACGTTAGGAAAATAATACGCCTGATCGTACCGCACTCAGTTAAAAGAGCACCCGGCGACCGTGCGACCTGCGTCGAACAAAAAAGCGGATTCAAGTCATTGCAAGTGTGCAAGATTTAGTGTATTTCGTCGAACCTGCGGGACGCCCAGACTCCTTCACTAAATTTACGTAAGTAGCACTTTTCTCCCACCATTCTCCAAACTTCGCCACTTCATTTTCCGTCCGCCATACTTCACAGTTCGTCGCTTAATCGTCCAAGTCAACTTGACCACGATGGAAGGATTGTGTCAAGTGGGCATGGCTAAGCTAGTTGCGCTATAGTTGACGCTAGTCTTTATTCGACAGTAGCTCCTGACTGTAGTACGATAGTATGATTAGGATCCCTTAGTAACGGGTCGACAATTCTGCAGGGTTCTTCACTCATTGGTGTGGGAAATACCGTTAAGCCCGTCTTTGTAGTTAGATGGGAATCGTATAAGTTCATGAAGGCGTGTGACACGCCGCGTGTCCACTTCAGCGTGTGCTGCCTGCGAGTATCCATGGCGGAACGGGAAATGGATGATTCAATTGGCAAGAATGAATCATGGCAAGAATGAACAGCAGCGAGAAGATACACACAACGTTGGATACTGAACCGAGACCGGCATCCTTACGATTACCATACCGTCAGTTGTGAATTATTATGACCTGATCGTAACGAACATGATTTGTCCACAGAATACAGAAGGGAGACCAGGAAGCGCTACAGTCCAAATGTGTGCGCTATGCAAAGGACATATATAGTACAAGGGGACGCAGATGCCCCTCAACACTACTGAATCATTCAGTAGCCCATTATGGGCTTTGCGTCCCCTGCTCGCAGTCTCACACTCGCATAAACACTTGAACGCAATAACCGTGGGTGACGTAACAACTTTCTGGCATGAAACGCACTTCGAGGCATTCCACATCCTGAGGACGTGGATGTCATCCTCTGCTGCGTTCAATGTAACAACTAACGAAGTTAATTACGCGTGGTGACCGATGGTGTTGAGGACCTGCAAACAATGAAAGTCGAGTCTATATTGTTGACTACTGCCGTATAACCGATAGACGAGTATAGACGAGCAATAGCTGAGCTGGGAAGAAGTGCTTCAAAAGCGGCTAACCAATGGTCACATAACGTACCCAGGTCTTCCTTCCCTGGAGGGTGTGCTCTTTCGGGGGGTGTTGCTGTGACGCCGGGATAGGATGTGATGAGTTTCGCGTCTTTGGTTCGTTGCAATAGACCTGCTATAAAGACAGCGATCTTGAACTGATCTCACGAGATCTCGACAGCTTGGCAGTGCAAAGGAACTTTGCACCCACCGAAGGAAGGAATCACGCTTCCACTCTTCCCTTAGCAGCTGGCCTCGACTAACTGGGTCGCACTTGACCGGCTTTGTCCTACGGAAGAACATCACAAGGCAAGGAAAGTCTAGATGATTCAACATCTTAGCAAGGGCTCATCATACAACAAAACGTAGGACAACCAAGTGGAGCGTTATCAAACGCACTCACTTGTGCGAACCATCACCACTCAAGCGATTGTTGACGTTCGGACGTGCAGTCGACACCGAAGATCTGCGGCAACGAATGGGCGGAGATAACCATGTGGGCGACACCTCCGTGTTGGCGCCTGTGTTGTAATTCGACTTAGAGCTCGGGACTCTACTGAGTCACGTCCTAGGAGAGTCTCCTGGGCGGGTGGAAGCGGACTGCGTGATACAAGGCTGGATAGACGACGATGAAGATACAGCTTTTCAACCGAGAGGCTCGTTTTGTCGTCAGCTGCATCATTACGCACACTAGACCTGTCATGGGGCTCGTTCCAGAAAGATGGATCTCGCGAGGAACTGAGTTTACGCAATTTTCTGATGTCGAGTAGTGTCACCATCCACTAGGATATACGGCTCGTCGATGCCGCAGAGCATGTCTACAGTGCCGTCAGAGACGACTCGGTACGGAGTCAAGCGAGACATTGATATTACTAGGGAAGATGGGAACACCACCGGGAGACCAGAGCTTGGGCTCTTCTAATGAGCAATTATCACACAACATAACACACCTAAACAGGGCCAATTCTAAATCATCGTGACCAATCGTGACTGGTCGATCTTCCGGAAGGGCGCAGCTCTTCTTATTCGCTTCAACACCCAATAGGCTAACTGCAGGGCTTCCTATGGCTCCCAGAGCCACTCCTACTGCCACGATAGCCACTGCATGCATATTGCCACGGTGGCAATACCACCACGATAGAAACATTCTAAATAGTACACTACTCTTGGAGAAGGTGTCTCCTGCAATACTGCCTCAATCGATTATGACAACATCCTCGCCCATTCAACGAGTCAACATTAAGCAGTGGACTCAGATCAACTCTCTTTTGGAGGTTACATTGGATCTCTGGACGTAGACAAGTCGCATATGGACTTCCCTCTAGCAGTTTCACAGCGTGTAAGCGGTGCTGATGCCCTTTAAAACAAGATGGAGAGTGTGTGTCGATCTGTTGCCGAGCATTACGGGCCTGGCGGCCCAGTGGCCTATCGCCACGATGTGGGACCAGTAAAGAGTGTGAGGATTCGTTACGCGGACAATATCTTGCACGCTTGCGTTATCTCAGTGTGTGACATGTACGCAAGAACATCCTTGTGTCGATCCTAAACTGATGGGAAGAGTGGGACTCTATCAGAGTCGCTCTGCGTAGATTTTCCTGTTTACCTAACGTGGCGGACGGCGCTCAAGTGCTACTTTCGACACAGCGGATTAATAGTTATTGATAGAAGTATTTAAAGGAAGCAGTATGGCATCGCAGGAAAAGTGTGTTTATGTTGGCAATCTCGATTGGACGGTAAGTTGGTATTATTACGTCTCTAATACTCCCAAGAGGCTTCCAATATCGTCACCTCAGACTACCGAAGATGAGCTCGGTGATCATATGAAGAAGGTTGGACCTGTCGTGTCGGTCGATATTATGACCAGAAACGATGGTAAATCCAAAGGCTGTGGGTAAGAACTAACCATATCCCTTTCCTACGAGGCCGCTTCCACCTCTGCTGATCAGGATCGTGGAGTTTAAGGATACAGAATCAGTGGCCAAGGCTATCGAGACGCTGAATGATACTAAGTTGGGGGAGAGGCAGATTTTCGTTAGGGAGGATCGTGGGCCGGAGAAACCGAGAGATTCTGGTACCGCCAAGATCGACTCCATCTAAGGAGTATGGTCGCTGTTGTTAGACTCTCCTCGTGGTGGCAAGGGTAAGGGTAAGGGCAAAGGCAAAGGGAAGGGTAAAGGGAAGGGATATTGGGATTGGGGATATTGGGATTGGGGATACCGTAAGTCGTGGGTATTCCGGATACCCTCTTACACATGCTTGTCCTCAGCTGGTAAGGGTAAGGGTTTTAAGGGCTACAAAGGCAAGGGCGGCCTCAGGCCACTTCGTGTTGGCCCTCGTGATAAAGGGAGGCTCATCTACGTTGGCAACGTACAACAGATTACTATGGTATGGCTCCTAGTAGTACCCTCCTACTCAGTTACCTTGGAGGACAGCCTGGCAAGATCTTAAAGATCTTTTCCGTGAATGCGGTGAAGTTATACGTGTCGATATCGCCGAAGGTTGGGACGGCCGTTCTAGAGGCTTCGCCACTGTTCTCTTCGAGGAGATCGACAACGCTGCCAATGCTATCGGTAATAACAGACTCTCTCTGGCTCCGATTCCCCAGTCTTCTCATTTTTCAGAGAAATTCAACGAGTACGAGTTCCAAGGGCGTAAACTACTTGTTCGTGAAGACCAGTTTGTATGAAGGCAAATTATCAGGTCTGTGTCAACCTAGCTTCAATACCCTTGTGGAATCATCATAACGTAGCATCTTACGGATGCAGCCAGAAGGGTATGAAACTACGGATTTGACTGACTAAGCCCTCATCACCACTCAATGACTCGTTTAAAAGTTTACTAGACTTCACAGCATTCCTTGAAGTAATATTGTTGTCAATGGAAGGGGTATATGGAGAATTGGCTCAGCGCCGCAGCTAGCCGTATGAGCTCTAACTCTCAGAATTTCTTTTTATTGCGGTTAAGGGCACCAATGTAGCAGGTAAGGAAATCACATCCGCGTATAGGGGCATCAATTCAGTAGTGATGGTCAAACTTGGACATCAATTCATGATAAAGAAAAGTCCTTAAGGGAATGCAATTCCAGGGATCGGGTTCCATGGAAGGACATCAATTTCGGGTTGCAGTTCCGGCGATGCAGATTTACTCTGTGCAGCCCCATAATCCATTTCTGAAGGGTATGGCAACTACGCACAGCATCGAGAAACCGCAGTAACGGTTCATTGCAGCTATGCGAAATGCTATGCATGACACAAAGTTTGTGTCACAAACGCATATTTAACCGCCCATGCCTCACCTCAGAAGGCATCTTGCTCATAAGATAGTCTTACCACAGCTTCAGGATCTGAAGTTCAGAAGCTGTGTCGAAATTCATTATATTTGGAAATCCATTATAAGCTGAGCTCATAACGAATTTCCGATCGGCGGGTTATTCCGTCGTAATGAGATGTAGATGATACGAGCGGAGCCCGTCGCTACGCTCCGGAGTCGCGACGCTCCCGAAATGCTGAGGTGTTAAGAGTATACAATTTCTTTTCCGACTGACTCAATTTAGAGCGATGCCCGACAACAAATTACGTAATTACAGGATTTGTATGACAAAGAGGGACAGAATCACACACGATGTGAAATCGAAATATCGGAAGAGTGAAATGACTTGGGAGGAATTCAGGGCAAGAGGTGATTCATTGAATCACCTCTACCTGAATCAGATTCAACCGAGTGCACTGCGAGCCACTGTTACCCGATGTTGCTTCGATCCAGCAGCTATTCCTTTCACTCTAAGGTGGGATCTGTGTCGGGACCTCGATTTTCGAGGGCTTTGGCTATCTCTTGCGTGCGTGATCTCAATATGATCATCAGTAGCCTGAACTCAGTAGAGGTTCTTAATGCACAGTTTGAGCCATCATGGCGGATGAGGTCATCACAGGGGCCTCAGAGTATGGCATTCACGTGCTTGCATTCATGAACCGAAACACGGCTTGCACATTGAATGCTGATTCGTTTATACTCCTACTGATGAGTGCTACAGGCGTGAGTGCACAGCGGTCTTGGAAGCTGTGTTTACCATAAAAACGTGCCCATGCTCTAAAAGTTCGAGCTGAGATGGTTCAAGCTTTCTGAGTAACGATTACGGGCAGTCCGGAGAGTGTATGACAGCACGTAACTCCACAATTGAGCGCAATTATGACCGAGCGCAACACAACTGAGCGCAAAAAATTACCAAAAAACTGCAAGTGCCATAAGAATCAAAGGGCCTTTTGACCGCATAGGCTTGCCGTTGCTAACCCGGTTAACTCAATCGACTTCTCCAGGTTCGCCTGCTTCGACCGCGAAAGCATTAGGCTGCCTACCGTGGGGTCGGGAGTTCGATCCAAAATCACGTGAATATGTTTTACTTCTCGCGGAGCAATTATGTTTTTTGGCTCCCGTTTCGGGCCGTTTCTCAGGTATCACTAGTGCGGTAGTGTAAATTCTCTCTTGGCGAGATCCGGTCATTGACAACGAAAGGCAGACTCCAAAGTTTAACGAGACACTGATATCACACTACAGAGAAACCGAGAAGCTGAAGCAGCGGGAAAGTGAGACACACACAATCACGTTGTAAAGTTGCCGGCCTTAGAGTGGGTTTGAATATTTTTCGTTGCCATCGTGAGGAAGAGCGATATGCGCCGCTTTTCGAGGCAAAGGAATGCGTGGGACCTCAGTCTACTTTCATCGACAGTTGCCGCCGCCACGTCGCCCGTGCCCAGCGCAAAGTGCGTTAGCCTCGCTAACACAGGAAGGGCGCAGTTATTGCTCCCGATTTCTTGTAAAGGAATATCCATGAAATGGAGTCCATTTCATGGATATTTAATGGAGTCCATTTAATGGACCATTCTTGAAGTGCCATACAAGTCTACTAAGCGCTGCTTGGCGAGGTCAGAGATATCCTCCTTCGACTTGGCCATTAAGTCCATGTAGTATATGGTCCCACCAACTCTCGCCGTGCCGGCGTAATGGCTGTGGCTATCCAGTACAATTGGCTGAAGAACCATGGCACTCGTCGGCACTAGGTGGAATCCAGGGGAGTCCAGCAGTAGAGCAGATAGCTGAACAGCTTGCGGAGGGACCACTCTTTGTTCGCCCACTTGTCTCCAGAGCATCGTCATCCAAACATCCAGGATGCTATCAAAAATCATCTCACCATTGGTAATCAGCCAGTCACGATCAGTGAGGTCCACGACTATTTCCGGCAAGGAATAAGACGGACCAGCAGGTATACGTATCCAGTCGAGCAACCCTTGTTGCTCTCTCAGAGAGCCTCTCTGGGGTTCTCAGCACCAGCGGAAGGTTCAGCGGGAGTCGATGCTTGTGGCTCAGTCGATAATGACGGCTGTTGCTGGGTTTGTGAGTGAGCTTGCCGAGCGACATCAGAAAGCTGGGTTTCACCACGGGCATCCCCAGTTTCATGCCCAATTCCGGAGCCCCTGGGAGTCTCCTGGGAGCGTCAACACAGTATATCGGAGCATCCTCGGCATAGTCTTCCCTAGAGCAGTCCTCCCCGTTCTCAGGATTGAAGAAGGTCCACCATATGTGTTCCCAATCGAACGTTTTCGTAAAGACCAAAACGTTCCCATCTGTGAAGAGCATATGACACGGGAAGTTTCTCAGTTTCCCATAGACGCCGTACAGTTATAGAAGTAGAAGTCACTGCCGTTAGTAGTACTAGCATAATCCGATAGTAGTACTGCATAGTAGTACAGTCCGACTCTCACAACCGCGTAGAGAACCCCCTAAAACGGGTCAACTAAGAGGAAGCCAGTCGCTGATACCATACAGTGCGAGAGGATAGAGCACAAGTTAGTTGTAGATGAGCACCCGTAAGTCATTTGGGGTCCCTAATGCCTCCAGCCAGCAGAGAAACATGAGAAAACGGCGGCGATACGAGTCACGGGTTGAGAGTGATAAAAACATTGATAAAATATTTTAAAGAAACTGAGATGAAACCCATTTCAATTTAATACCTTGTAACTTAATGATGATGCCGATACCGAGAGAGGTATGTGGATATTATCCACTGGATAATATCACTTGATATGAAATCGTATTGTGAATGATGGAATTCAATGCTACCATTGCCAATGATAGCATGGCGGCCTACCATTATAGAGTATAGATGGGCAGCGAAACGTTTTTTTACGGTTTACGTTACGGCGTGCGTAACGTAAGCAGTTTACGGGTTGCGGAAAGGCCTTACGACTTTACGGTTGGTGCTGAACTGCTTTTTTAGAACTGTGGCGGAAAGACTTGCTGTAGTGCACTCCTCCATAGCTAAACTAGTTGTTAAGCAGCTTATAGCTGCTCATTTCTTGTGGCTCGGACTCAACCGAACCGCTGAGAGAGTTACATTTGGTTTCGCATTTGCCACTCGTCTCCTTTGCAAATTCCGTCCGTCTCACTCCCAGGCTGACCGGGTCAGCCTGACCCGGAACTGCCAAGCCGGCCTCATCTACGGATTTGCATTCACATGAAATAGATTTAGGCGACATGAATGGTCCATCCTGGTTTTGTCCTCTGCATCTCCGTAAGACCCGTTACGGCGCCGTAATTTTACGGTACGGGGCTTGAAGCGTAACCGTCAAATTGAGCCGTAACGGTCCGTAACGTAATTCTGCATCTATATTATAGAGTCAAAACCAACATTATCGTCACATTATAGGATAACATTATCGTCACAGATAACGCTCAGCAGTGTAAGGAGATATGCAGCACCGATGATTGAGATATGCAAAATTCACGAAATATGGCAACCCCTATGTTACCTGGTCACGCTCGTCCCAAAATCCACCTCTGCAACCTGCCCACAGCTGCCTCTCAGCCCGCTGTGGGCTGTTCTCAACAATCTACAATGCGAAAATCCGAACTTGCAAATGACCTGTCAAGGTCTGAATAAATAGTAAGACTTGACAAATCAAGAGGATCAGCCAGAGGTAGAACCAATCTTTGTGCTCAAAAGTTCGCGTGCGCAACGAATTATGCGCTGAGTTGTCGCAGTATGTAGTATGAATCGTTACAAGGCATGAATAATGGCTTCCTACTTCAAGGCTTTCAACTCTCAGGGTTTGCCCTTTGGGCGGGCAAGCGTCAAAATTTCGCGGAAAGGAAATTTTATCACGGAAAATTTCGGAAACGGTGGAAATGGAAATTTCCGTGTAAATCTCGCACGCCATGCGGGCGCGCGAGACATGCGATCAGCCAGGTATGCCCACCGGACCCAACGTATGCCCCTTCCGGGCCCAACGTATGTCATGCCAAATAGGGTGGTTTGAACCAGAGAAATCGCGGCCCTTCGGCCCGCTATAGTAGCCATGTCATCTTAGGGTGTTATACGAGTCTGGCCGAGGCTGGCCGAGGCTGGCCGAGTTCTGCTTCAGTTTGTATCCTCGGTAACTGAGTCTACTGTTCTGGGTCGAACGTGAGCAAAAGCTTGAGCTCTTAGAGAGGAAATGAGATATTTTATCCCGTTTTTCATCCACCATAATCATTCTGAATTACGGGAGAAAGTGATCAGCTAACGTGTGAATGCGAAGATTACCGCCGAAGATGTACTCGATAGAACGCAAGATATGGTGGACTTAGTCCACTGGACTACAGCCAAATAGGTCGATAGCGCCAACCGTGAAAATAACTGGAGCTACGCCGACACTATTCGACTCTCGAGAGAGAGAACGCAAGATTGCAAGATAGTTGGAGAATCGCTAACTCTTGAGAGGCTCACGCGCACGCCCACCTGATCGATATCTGAGGGTAACCGCAAGATGTATTCATAGTGACCAGTAGACACCTGCGAACGCCTTCACTAGCTTTATTCGGCCATTATGAATGAATCTGAGCTACATCTCTCCTCTCTACTACCCTGGGCACGATTTTTTGGGCATTTTTAGCAAATTTCCAAGAATTTCCAGCCTCAACGGAAATTTCTGAAATTTTCTCGAAAATTTCCTTCGGAAATTTCCGCCCGTGCCCAAAGGGCAAACCCTGTCAACTCTCATGTTACATGGGTTTAACCCATTGGGTTACATAAGTTATGTAGATATGCGTTCGAAGTCGACCATGTAACATGACTCCTAAAAATCCTGTCCCTAAGAATGTGCCCTGACTCCGACAACGCAACAGCTCCGATAGACCAACGCATCACATGGTATGTGTAAAGTACCCTAATGGTATCACGGATGGGAGTGAGAAGTCCTCAGGAAGTAAGTGATTAAGGCAAGATAAGAAGTCTTGCGTATAATCGTCAGGTGAATCCACAGATATGATGCGACAAAGTCGCGCATTGTGAAACAACAGGACAGAGTGACACCTCCATACCAAACGCCTAGCTTAGTCGAATTACACGATCAATATTTTTACTTAACTGTGGTTTGTTTCGGGTTACACCATCTGCAGGTGAAACTTGAGTCCCTATACTTCGTCGGACTACGCGCCAACGGTCCCTCTGTGTCTTTATGGAATCGAACTTTATCTGAGTCGTCGATACCATCGACTCCACTATGCAGTACCCTTCCACAGCAGATGAGGTCAAACTTATTTCGCACTGAATCGTTTATATCAGAACGCAATTTGCGCCATTCAGGTCTATGGGATGCAGCCGTACCATGCGGTCTAGCATAAGGATCCACACAGAGTGAGAACACTCCGTTGAGCATTTCCGGTACATAATCTTCGAGTATTGTAGATGACTCTGCGAGGCACGGATTAGAGTTCACCTCGATCAGCCAAACGCCTCCATCCTGATCAATCATAAAGTCGTATCCAAAGATTTGGAATGAGTTGCTATTGGGCGAGCGAAATTGCCTTAATGTAGCATGTAATGATATCGCCATGGCTCTGTACATCGCCGCCCGCATCTTGCCATGAACGTCGAGCTTAGATGGGCAGTTGGGACGGCCAGCATTCTCGTCAGCATAGGCTTGTAGGGCATCAAAAGACATCTGATTGCCGTTTTCGTATAGGCCGTATTTGTCTCCGCGCTTTTGTATAGCATTGTTGCAGAGATGCATCATTTCATCGACTACACTGTTCTCGCGAGAAGGATCGTACGAGACCTACCAGACTACGGTATGGGTCGACACCGGGCGTAACTGTACCGAGGCGGTCCGTATGTAACCCTCTCTATAGCAATAGGCATGCAGACTCGGGGTCAAGACAAGCCACATTCGTATATCGAACTTGCGCTGATTGATGAGCATAGGACGGTCGATGTATCTACTGATCTCATTGGAAAGGCCCTTAAACAGATGGATCCTCTACTACTTCTGTAGAACCCAGTTACCGTTTGATCCCTTTTTCCCCTCGGTCTTCCTCACTTTTGATACCACTGGAATTGAGCTCTCTCTCGCTACGGTAATCATTGGCGACCTACCAATATACTCAGTTGGCCGTCGAGGTATGCAATAATGGAGTTTCACCCGTGATAAGCAAAACACTAGTGAAGAGTATATTTCACGACCACTGCATAGCGCAAATATCGCGTTTTTCACCGAGTTCTACGCCGCTTCACGTGAAACGGGTGAAACTCCAATACACTCCTAGCGTACAGTAGGCTCAGACCTACGCCTCGGACAGTTCAGCATCTCCCTCTTGGACCGTGGAAAGACACTCCTGCTCTTTGGAGTTTGATGGACTGGAACTAGCTGCCGTAGAGGCCATGCTGTTGGAGCTGAAAAAGACCCTTTGGTTCGTATAGAGCCGGAGCCTGCGCTACCGTAGTCTCTCGACCTTCTCCTCCTCTCTCTTCTCCGCAACGCACGGCTGGCATGCCTCTGAGACCTTCGTACTCCTAGAGTGAACTGACTCAGTGGCAGGGAAGTAGTAGCAACCCCTTACAGGCTTCGTCTGGTCTTGCTCTTGCCCACCAATGGTCCGACACTCAAACTGCGTCCTCGTCGAATGCTACTCCTCTGAAGCTTCAAAGAGCATATAAAACCACTAGCATTGGAATCCGGCTGATCACCTCTGGCAACCCCGAAGAAATAACTCGGCGAAGAGCCTTCGAGTGAGGGCTGTCCTTCTTGAGGACGAACCGACGGAGCTCCGCTTCCGTCCTTATGACCTGTCATAGAGATATACCATGCTAAGGGACATCCCCGGTTGGATATGAACACACACACCCTCACCTTAATCCCTCTCCCTCTACTCAAAGCTGCGGGCTTGAGCATCCACTGAGGCGCCATATTGGAGGACTCCGGTATGAAGGATGACGGCATTGAGTACTTCACTGTTAGACCGGCCAGCATACTGGAAGGGCTCGTCGCAACCCGACTAGTAATCTGAGACGCGGTACTGCCTATATAGAGATGATGAGGAGGGTGTTATCAGCCTCACCAAGCGTGACACGCTGTAAGGATGGTGGTTCTCACCATCAAGCAGGAGGAAGCGATTGTTGCCAGTACACAGGCTACTTGGGACCCGTACCTGGACAGAACACACATTTAGTCTGTGAGACTGGTACTGGTGACAATGATGCCAGAAGGAATCGAGTCGAACCACCCAATATCAGACCTCTTCTTACACAAATCTGATCGTTACTAGATGGGAAGTCGCCTTTCAGATCTATTGTAGTCCTCTCCGTCGCACCAAGAGATGCAACCTGATCTTGTGTACTCTCACAGAGTTCCTAACGGACTTAGGGAGGCACTATACCCTAGTAATGACTTCAGTGGCAAGGACGTAGTCCTCGAGGCCACAAGGTGTGCTATCCTGGTCCGCATCGGCATCACACCGTTTGAGGCGAATTATGATCGATACTGGCATGATCTGCTGGGGAGCTACGACTTGTCCGCTGAATGTCTCTAATGGCCTTACCTCCCATAAGTTGATCTTAACCTCTCCACAGTACTTAGCCAGATTCCGCAGGAGATTCGCCTTGGTGCCTGACCCGGATGAAACAACTGACTGTAGTCGCCTTCATTTCTTACAAAGCTCGTGGCAACCACCAAAGTAGTTCACCAACTGCGGCTGGCACACAGTAGCCCCACCCAGATCTACTGCATTGGCCATCCGTCTTAGAGTGTCTGTCGCGTTAGGAAGACTCTGTTTCCACTTCAAGTTGAAGATACCTGACCGACGGACGTCGGCTGGTCGGGGGAAACCTTAGCCTCCTCACTGCTGCAGAATTCAGAGTAGCTGTTTTGGCTCGTCACCACTACTCTCCACCAAGGACGGGTTTGACTCAGCATTCGTTCAATCATAGTGTGGTTGTTGCCGGCACAAAGGACCATACTGTAGCACTTGCCTAAGCGCAGACGACGATCATTAAAAAGCACCATCGGGATTGGACTACCTTCAACGCTCTGAATAGCATCGGCATAGCTCACAAGATGACCTAAATGAAGATCAGCAGCACCGAAGACCATCGCGGTCCTCACCTGGAGCCAAGCTATCTACACCTTCCTCCTTTGCCAAGGCCGCCAGAAGGACAGCTCTGTTCTTGGAGAAAGGACTAGCTGTATCAGCTAGTGTGAGCCCTCGGTTAAAAGACTTGCTCCGCCGCCTAGTGTCACAGGAGGCAACCTTGACTTCGGTACTCTCCCGAGCAACGATCTGTAGGGGTTCCTCAGTGGCTTCCATAACTTTCTTCGTTCTTGTCTCAGCCTGGTCGAATAGGGCCCCCTTGACGGCGACCGAACCTCGGTAGACCCGTGGGGATCTACTAGGCGCTTTCACTTGCATTGTCATCATTGCACTCGTCACTCCGATCGAATCACACGAGCGACCTGGGATGGGTCGTGGAATACCTAAGAGGCTGCCATAACCCCACAGGGGGGGGACGGACGGGTACTCACTGCCTCCCTCCCGTTGTCGTAGTCTGGACCTCTTACTGCCAATACTCATGGGGCGAACATTTGACCTCGGCCACGGAGCATGAGTCGCTACACTTAGTCGTCGCTGAGTAGGAATACCATTAAACAAATTGCCTATGCAGTTGCTGGGAAAATACCGACTTGAATTAGGGGCTGGACGATGCCCTCAACTTGTAGCGACTCCCCAAAGCCTTCACATGGCGTAAGAGAGGCCAGTGAGCTCCTACCGCGGCAACTACCTACTGTGGAGAGCTGACCTACAAAGGTATTGAGGATATCAGCCCACCGCCCGATCGAGCTCCATTGTAAGCGCCCATTTCCGGAAGTTCAGGCTTGTCTCCGTAAACCCTGGGAAAAGCCGATCGACGGGCCTTCAACGGACGAAAGAGGAGCGGCTGCTTCTTGTCCGTGCCTGTCAGCGAGGCCGAAGAGGACACCCTGTTGGCTAGCATCCACAACAACGACACAAATGGGTACTGTGATAACGCCTAGTACGGCAGATATATCGACAACGCAGATCCGCAGGGAAGTAATGAGAAACATGGGTAGCTTTAGAGAGGCTTTGATGCATTGTAGTGAGACTTGATCCAGCATAATCTCCTACAGCTGTTCTCTTTAGTTCTGTCGAGCTATATGAGATATCTGTGCATAGGGCTTCCCTTCATTTTCCGACCGTACTGGTCGACTGACCTGTCGGCGGCTGATAACTCGGGTGACATGCCACTACTGGGAAGCTTCAGCTTTCTGTCGCTGCTTCCGTCGTAAGGCGTGATGCGACAGCCTGTCAAGACGGTGGAGCTTGATAACGAGCTGGAGGCCTAAGCTACGAGTAGAGCCTAGCTGAATCTGAGGCTGAGCCCATGGCCCATGCCGTAAGGTTACCTGGAGGACTCATAGGTGCTCCTTGCTGAGGTATTGGAGGATCTCACAGTCCAAAGCCGAGAACAGGCTGTTCTCGGCCTCTCCCTGTTATAAACAGGAACCCAGCATCAACACTACGCCGAGGTGTTGGAGGAAACATGATAACGGAAACACTATCACCAGTAGAGAACATGCCGGTCGTCGTCGTCATCCTCATTTCCCCCCTCCTCGTCCTCAGACAATACGTCGGGCTCTAGTTGCTCATGGACACCAAGGTCACTACTACTACCACCACCGAATCGTCCTTCTGTGAAGTAATCAGGATCAGGAATATGCTCAACACGGAAGGGTTGGTGCTTGGGCTGAACACGCCCAATGAGGAGCGTTAGTCTCCTAATAAGCTTACCACTGTGGCAGATGACAGAGTTCTCCGACGGGTGTGCTTCCGGCCACGCAGCGATGGTGTCAGCCTACAGTGAAGACTACTGACCCATCCTGTCTATGCTCTTACAGCTCGGCTCTCTCCAATGCAATCTCCTTAACCTCCTTACCATCCAACATTGATACATCCTGTTTGCCATGCACCTGTGCTTCATGGGCAGCTATCATCAGTCGAGCTTGATCGTGCTCTGCAGCGATGAGAGCTCTGACGTCGGTGCGGTCAAGCTGGTACCTGCACGTCAACTTTCACAGCCCTTCAGTACAAGGCAGTACATATCCTCAACATGAACTCTCTCCTGGAGGTACTTCTTAATCCTTTGAAGACGTTTCCGCTTCAATCGAACTGCACATTGCCAACAAGTCCTCAGGACCTAGTACGATAACAGGTTCCCGAGCGCCCCTTCCCCACGTACAGTCTGCCAAGCTGTCTTCTCTGGCGTAAGACCGAGGTCTTGAAGCTCGAGATAGCCATGTATGAATCGCTCGTTCAGCTTGACTAACGCAGGGTGCATGTCCGCCTCCTTCATCTCTTGTAAAACCTAGGGTTTGCCTCACATGGCTTCCCTTGTTCAACCAGCTACCATCAACGCTGAAGATGCCATATGCCTGTGAGAGAGGATATAGCCGTGGGCTAATAAAGAGTAGGAAGTCTCGTCCATAGGTAGGTTATGGGCCTTGAAGAGCCTGCTACTCTTATACCACTCATTGTAGTCTCCCTAATATACAGTACAAGGACCACCGCACCAGGGTCTTACTTTGACTAGGGCTTTCCACATGATCGAATTCAGAGATGTCCGCAGTTGCTGGGTATTAGTAAAATCTAATTCGTTATTACCTGCCTCCTCCTCGTCAGACTCTATACCATTCTCGGCCTCTAATTGGGCCTATTCTGAATCTTCCATGAGCCAACCTCGGATGCCCAGGCCTACATCGAGATAACTATAGTTCTGCCGCCGGTAGCGAGGAAGCTCTTCCTTATCCAGTGGCTCCACAATGATCAACTGGGAGGGCCTGAAAGTGCGGCGTGTCCACGCCCCAGCAAGGCTTGGTCCCTACTCGCCCTCCGTGTCCGAGTTGAAGATGGGCCGGGCTATTTTAGGCTTACTAACGTAGTGTGTCTGAGGGAATATTCGAAAGCCTCTGACCCCTAGGGGCAGCTGATGACGAGCAGCTGTGAGAAGGTCACGGGTGGAGACTGTGGAAAGAGGCATTCGGTGACATACCGGAATTTGACCATGTGAGCACGAAAATGCACAAATATGCACTACTCCGACAGCGGAGCGACGCACAGACTTCGCTCATCTTGGGTGCTCAAACGGCCGTTTTCACTTGACAATTGTGACGGAGGCGAATGGCCAGGGTGTTCAAGAAGTCCGTCCTGAGTTTTAAGGATACTTCTACGATCGTCTTTCATACGCTTAACTCAATCCTGGAGATTCACGCGAAATTCGGGAGAGGTCTACTGACAATACCTGTGGATTCGTTGAGGATGTACCTCCTATGAACAAGGTGTCACGCCGTTGTTCATGGCCTTTTCCCCAATATCTCTACCACTCTCCCTGTTCATTATGGCATCTGTTATCACTTGAGTACCGAAGTAGTGGGGGATGATCTATTGCGTATCTCAAGGGTAGCAACAAGCTCCACAGATTTACAGAGGAGCCCAACGGACATAGATAATACCAGCGATATAGTAGATAACACGCATAGGTCTGTGCCGCAGATTCTCAACTGACCATTGCTCTGTTGAAGAGCTCTGTTGATAGGTGACGCATGCAAAGGTCCTGTATAGTTGTTGTCCAACCTTTCAAATGGCTCCTCTTCCCACACCGCCTGACTCCTTCTCCAACTACTACTCCAAATGGGATTCCTATGCAGCTGGCATCGGGGATGAGGATGATGATAGTGATATGCCTGGCTCGATAGCAGACCAGTCGAGGCCAGTGGCCGAGGCCAGGCAGCAGCTGGAACGCCAGAATCAAGTCTCGGCTCAGAAGGTACTACTACGTGAGAATCCATCTCATCACGGGGATCTGACTGTCTATCGCTTCCCCCTCCCCAATCTACGAGATCGACACTAGCGATGGTCTTCCTTCCGATAGGCTATGCCGTAGTAGTGTTCTCTGAGAACTCTGCGTCTAAATTCGACGATTTCTCGGGCCGGGAACATGACCATGACGACAGTTTGCCCAGAGCTGCTCTCATTTAGGCTGCAATGCTCGCTAAGATGAAGGCGAATGAGATCACGCTGGAAGCAGCTGACCTGGAGGCGCTCGATGGTGTCATTCGCGTATCAGACGTAGCTCTAGCAGGGAAGGCTTTGAGGCTGCGAGGAATAAAGGCTCGAATCGTCCATGTCGAAGTGGATAAAATACTCAAGTTGTTCATTGAGGAGTTCGAGGACTGCCAAGTCTTAGTACACAGCGAAATTGTTACACAGACCGCCGAGCTCTGGTCCTGCAAGAAGACCTGTCTAAGTCTCCTCAAAGGGGTGGAGACGGTCCAATGTGATGCTTGTGAGAATGTGTCCATCGCTGGGGCTGTGAGAGTATGCAGTAGCAACTGTACAGCGTTGAAAGTCAATGGCGCTGAGGTTGCCGAGACCGCCAGGACCGAGCAGGTGTTGAGCCAAGCTGATGAGCACGGTAAGGTGAAGAGCGATAAGATGCAGCGGTTTGGCCGGGACCAACTACCAGTGATGGACGCTGGAGATGGTACCAGTACGAAGCCTTCTGCAGAGAAGGACATAGCGGAATCTCAGAAGGACCTTGGTAATGGGCACTACTATGTGGTGTATGGTAGCGTGCCTTGTAGGAAATGATGCCTTCAAGGAGTGCGACTTCATGCAGGCAGTTGTATTCTACACCAACGCTCTGGACCACGACTCAACAATGGCGGTAGCCCTGTCCAACAGGGCTCAGTGTTGGCTCAAGCTTGGGGACTTTGAGAAGTAGGATGGGGGACGAGGTCTGCAAGTGGCATCATTGGTTTAGGGCCGAGAGTGATGCTTTGAAGGCGGCTCAGCTCGAGGGGGCAACTGAGCGTATCAAGGCTAAGTCCTGGTTCCGAGCAGGCATGGCTCGCCATGGCAGAGGTACTCGGCAGCGGCGGTCCCCTGCTGTAGGAGTTGATTATGCTCTGGTGCTTGGTCTGCAGGTGACTTCAGCGGAGCATGCGAGTGTTTGAGTAAGGCACAGGAGATAGACCCAAAGAATCCTCAGATCGACCACGCTTTCAAGATGGCTGAATTTAAGATGCGGCAGAGTAAGCCGAAGTGGAGTAGCCAATGATTGCATTAATAATTGCTGAGCAATATACCTTTTCAAAAACCGTGAATTCGCTCTAGTCGCTGTGATCGTTCTGTGTTGAGTCAATTAGGCCTTCGCTGTCTGTTGTCGTCATGTCACAGCCCTCACCACCAGCAGCAGAGCAGGAGGCTGCTGATGCTCCTACTGCTGAATGTCTAGTGCACCAGCTCTGTACTCGATGCCAATCTAAGTTGGAGGTGGTGGAATACGACACTGAAGTGAAGCAGGTGTGGTACGGAACACTGCTATGCAGGCATGGGCAATGGTATCAGGCGAAGGCCGAGGCAGCAGTGAGGGACCTGGAGGATAGGATAGCAGAGGCAACAGCAACAGCAGAGAAGGATTCGAGGAGCACCTCATTACGGGAGGCTCTTGAGAAGGTAAGGCTCCGATGAAGGCTTATGAGAGATGAGCTGCTGCTGGTGTGGTATTCAGGGGAACAACCTGAGCTCAGTGCAGCGACTGAGCCTACTTGGGAGCGCCTTTGCCCTTGTATTACCCCCGGAAGCTCGAGCAAAGGATACTAGTGTTCCACTGTGTGAACCCTGTGCGATGGATGTGATCTGCCTGCTAGCGATTAGTGTGTCAGAGGTCTTGGGATAGGTAGTGGCCTTGTGGCAGAGGGAGCTGGCGCTGAGGCGGGCTGAGTTGGCCGAGGCTGAGCTAGCCTTGGCCGAGTTGGAACAGGAGTTACCTAAAGAGGACGAGACGGGGCCTGACGATGAAGTTGAGGCCCTCGAGGTTGAGGTACCCTAGGGATGGTGCATGCCTAGGTAGGAGTCTGGGCAGGTGGCTAGCATGGAGAAGGAGCTGGAGGAGCTGAGGGAGACATCGAAGCAGCTAGAGTCTCGTCTGGAGCAGGAGGAGGCCGAGGCTCGAGTCCAATTACGACGGGAAGCGCACCTTCATAAGGAGACTAATGACTACATTGTGAGCAGCTGCTTGGTGGAGCTCTTCAGCCAGTTCTGGTTAGGTGGAGTTGGTCAGACACGAGGAGACTTCCGGTAGTGTGAAAGCTCAAGTTGAGTACACCAGTGCTGAGATATCTCGATTGAAGAGGACCAGCGTCTTGGCCATGGCCTTCAGGATCTGGTCAGTGAGAGAGGGGAGGAGTGTAGTTGCACTCACGCACACTGCTGTAGGCACTCCGGACCGTTCGGCAGCATCAATGGATTCCGCATGGGCAGGGTTCATGACTATCAAATACCGTGGTCCGAGATCAACGTGGGGTGGGGGCAAATGGCCCTTCTACTCGACGTTATAGTGCGGTGAGTTTCTATCACTTCAACGGTGCATCATTCACTGCTGGCCTCCAGTCGAGTAGGCGTCCCTTCGGCCTATCGTCTACTGCCTAGAGGCTCGTGCTCAGCGATATTGCGCAAAGCCGATAACACGATGATGGATCTATACACTAGTGATGGAGGCTTCGCAAGATTCTTCACGGGACGAAAGTAAGAAGGGGTGGGAGAACAGGCTGCGCTCCGTTCGACATTCAAAGACGACATTGACACACCTACTGGTGGTGTTTCACTGAGTGATGGTCCGGAGGGGAGGCGCTAGGGAATAGATAGTGGTAGGTCGTGTTTGGCGATACGCGTACTGCAAATACGGACAACAAGGGCCATGCATATGGGTATTCATCTTCTTCTTACGCTGAATGGCATGCAGTCTATAGACTTCAGTGCTGAAGTCCTTGTTTCACTCCGGCCGGACCCCATGCGGCTACTTAGGTTCGATGCTGGCATGTGTGCGTATGTCAATGTTGTGCAGGAGGTCTGTACTTTCTCGGAGCGCTTCCGGAGTCAACCCTTGAGGTGGGGGGACTGTAGTGAGGCACCTACTGGAGGTCGTTGATGACTGTTCCAGGTTGCCCTTTAGTATAGAAGGGGACAAGGTTGGGGGCTTCTCAGTGGCACTGCAGTTCAATCAAGAGGAGAGGTGAGCACAGGATGCGCCTAGCTGGTGTCATCAGCTATGGTAGGTGGACGAAGGCAATGAAGTACCTCCTGACCAACCTCAAATGGTTGATGGCCTACATCGAGTCGGAGCCTTTGCCGACGTCCACTGATGAGGACGATATGGTGGCCTCCGCCTAGTGCCAGCGCATTCGTTGTGATAGTTAGCTGTAGCACTTGCTGAGTTTCCACACACTCCTCTTGCTTTGTCAATCCTTCATAAACTGCCTCTTAGACTGGTGGGGTCCTCTACTGCTTGGGGTTGGAGAATCAAGAACAGTGAACGTGGCTTCCACGAATGCCTCTCGGAAACACAGTCGCTATGAGATCTCATAGTGAGGGAGGAGGGCAGAAGTATTGCTCGCCGCTCCGCGATGGTTGGTGTCATACCGTGTTAGCCTCCTGTCGATGTCTTTATCGCCTTGCTATGCTGAGGATGGTATGCTGCTTGGGTTTTTGGAGTCGTCAATATGCGTCTAGTGATCTTGCTTCTCACCCCCAACTCGTTGTATTAACTACAGTTCGTGATTCATCGAATGGATGGAAGCTTTTCATCGTAGAATTCAGCAAGCCAATGGGGATAGGACCATGAATGACATCGCTAATCGGGTACCAGGGCCCATATAGGGTCCCTACAATAGGCAATGCCTGCATTGGCAGTCAACAACGGCTTCGAGGTTGGAACAGGCTCTTCATAATGTATAGCTTGACAGAGCTCCGGCCGAGCGTTGGAGGCTGTACTGTTCCACAGGTCTGTAACGACGATGTCGAATTGGTCTTCTTTGAAGCTAATGTGCTTGGAAACGGCAAGATACATGAGCTGGAGTTCTTAGCTTCTGCCAGATTCCGTTCGTGAGTCCAGGAGAAAATATGATGAAAGATATTCATTCGGGCTTCATGTATTGGTGCTCCTAGGTGTGCTAATGTGGAGGATATTGAAGACGAGATACTGCTGTTGTATCATCTGAACTGCTCAGCTGCTGTCCATTGCTTACATGGTCTCTGGTCATAAATCACATTAGTGTTTAACCGAGCCCCCGCCCTCAGCATGCTGCCTGAAGCGAGAGAAACTCTCCCACTATTCTGCTAAATGTCTAATCCCAACTCCTCCGACACCAACACAGACGATGATGCAGTGGATCTGCTGAGCCCTTTGATGGGAATCTCAGCGATAGACTGGAACTTGCAGGATAAAGTCATCAAAGCACGGCGACTTCCCAGTGGCAGAGCCGATGCAGGCGATGCTTGCCGGCTTTGGCTGCAGTCCAAGCCAGACTTGAGGTCACTTCAATCTTGAGCGCGTCATCAATTCCTTCTGCAACCCTTCAGGATCCCATGCTGGTATGAAGCATGCAGCCTTGTTGAGGAAGATCTCAGCAGTGGGGACCTCACAGCATCTCTAGCGGCCTTGCACCACTGGAGGCGTGACCTTGTGCTTGCCGCTGCCTGCAGAGCTTTCAGAACTCCTGTAAGCTTCTCGTCCACTCATCAATAGACATTGGTGAACTCTAGGAGAATCGTTCCCAGTATATAAAGTGGATACCTTCTAAAGCGGAGGAGCTGCGGTCATTGTGGAAGCTCACCGAGAAGATCCAATTTCCTAGGGAAACCAGACAGACTGTTGCAGAGAGAGTTTATAAGTCCGTGGTCATCCCAGCTGTGGTGAAGCATGGTGACGACTTGCGACAGCGATGGCAATGGGAGCGTCACTTGATGACCCAACTCGCTGTACAATGCAAACAAGCGACGGCATTGATACGGAAAGCGTAACGAGTCAAGCAGCTAGTCTGGGGCATGTGGTCCGTTGGATGTAGGCAAGAGGAATGGGAGCGGAAGCAGGAGGCAAAACGAATGAAACTCCTACGCGAGAACAACTATGCAGAATACGTTAAGATGATCAAAGAGTCCAAAAACAAGAAACTTGTGGTGAGACTCACTGATGATTGGTGGAGGGCTTGGCCGCCACTTTATCCATGCAGGAGCTACTAGAGCAGACGGACAGCTTCCTTAGTGAGCTTGGTGACAAGGTTCGGGACGACCAGGTGTTACCTGCTCCAGGCAGCTGATGTTTATGAGAGTCCCGGTAGGAGAAGGAAGGGTGTCGAGTAACAGGCGTGGTTGATTACCATGATGCTCTCCATCAACTCCGTGAGGATACAGTGGTACAGCCTGCTAATTTATCTAACGTGGGTTCGATCCCTGCATGCCGCGCATTTCCCAGTGTCCTTGTCTCATTTAGGGTTGCAATCTACTGCCACATCAACTACAGGGTCTGCGTTGGCTCAGAAGTCTCAAGCTCAATAAGCTTAACGGCATTCTTGCAGACGAAATGGGGTAGGTCTTGAAAATGTTTTCTCGAGGAGACCTCCGACCAGACTCGGCAAGACCATACAAGTGATAGCCCTCATAGCGTCCTTGATGAGAGACGACCCGACCAAGGAGGACCTCAGCGACTTGAATCGTTACTTGATCGTGGTACGACGATGCAGTAGCTGTCGTAGACAGACGTGGTCGTTAGGTGCCTCTGTCCACGCTGCCCAATTGGATAGCCGAGTTCAAGAAATGGTTGCCATCAGCGAGAGTCGTCGTCCTGCGAGGAGACCTCACGACTCGAAGGCAAATAGCGAGAGTGTAGATGCTCTTGCTGCAGTGGCTCGATCATATGAAGTGGACAGCAGGTTGCACAGCCGGGGAGTAGCTCCTGATGTGAATTATGATGTCTGTCTGACCACACCAGAGATCCTCATCAGAGAGACTAAGACCTTGAGCAAAGTCCACTGGACGTAGGCAAGCCTTCTCTCGTACCGAGGGCGAGACCATTGAGTAGGTACGTAATCATAGATGAGGGCCACAAGATAAAGAATCACCTCAGTAGATTCCATATGGCCGTATCGTCCGTACCAGCTCGGCATAGGTATGCTCTCCCGGCTGGTGCCATCGGGTACCATTCAATCGTTAGACTCCTTCTTACTGGTACACCTCTACAGAACTCCCTCACTGAACTCTGGGCACTTCTCAAATTCCTACTTCCCAAAGTCTTCACTGATGCGGACAAATTTGCTGAGTGGTTCAGCAAGCCTTTTGAAGGTCATGCTGGTGAGAAGACCGAAACAACGGTCTCTCCATATTGCTGCGGGCGCTTGAACAGCTCGTTGTTATCGAGCTATCAGGAATAGGTGAACCCTCGATGAGTGACGCAGCATCAGCAAGTGCATTGACGCAAGAGGAGCAACTCTTAGTGCTCCACAAACTGCATACAATGCTACAACCGTTCTTACTAAGAAGGACCAAGTCCCAGGTGGGCGATAGTGAACTACCGCGCCTTTCACATAAAGTCGGCAGGTCTTTGGTGACCCGACCATAATGGAGGCATCTAGCTGCGAGAAGGCCACCCTCCCTAAGAAGATAGAACATCTCGTTTGGGTACCTCTCTCGGCCTGGCAGGACAGGGGTATGCATCAAATTATGCAAAGAGCTCTGTGCGGTGGACATGGGGAGCAGAAAGTCGCTCTTAGGAATGTACTGTCCTGGTCGCTTCGAAGGAGGTGGCTCCAGCAAAGATGATCTGAGCAGGTCAGCATGCAACTCCGCAAGATGGCCCAACACCCATACCTCTTTCTTGACGAATACGACATCAACGACGACCTTGTGCGTGTCAGTGGGAAGTTTGAACTCCTCGACCGTCTAGTGCCTAAGCTGCTGCATTTCAACCATAAAGTTGGTCTTCTTGATACAAGTTCCTCGACCATCCAAACGTCCTCAGGTCCTCATTTTCTCACAAATGACCTGCCTACTCGACATCCTTGAACAGTTCTTAGAGAACAAAGGCCTGCAGTGGTTCAGGCTGGATGGGTCAACCTCTTTGGAGGACCGTCAGTCGGCAATGCACCGATTCAACGACCCGCTCAATCATGACACCAACATATTCCTTCTGTGAGTCCTTCATTAACCGGGGGCATCAATTTTGGCAATCTATCTCGTGGATGCCCTCCTCCTTGGGCCACGTGTTCATCTCTTAGCTCAACTCGAGCTGGTGGCCTCGGCTTGAACTTGCAGGCCGCCAATACGGTCATTCTCTACGACTCCGACTGGAACCCTCAGATGGACCTTCAAGTGCATGCTCTTTGGATGACTGCTGAGGGTGATGCTTCCCCTCAGGCCATGGACAGGGCTCACCGAGTGGGCCAGAAGTCCGACGTCATTGTCCTGCGATTGACGGGAATGTGCCCAATAGAGCGTCTCATATTACAGAAAGCCACCACTAAGCGCAACATTGATAAGAAAGTCATACAAGGAGGACAGTAAGGAACCTCCAAGATGCCTCGTGTTGTGAATCAGTCTTCTAAGAATGTTCTCAGCTACATTGGAGAAGCCAATACCGACTTGAGTGACGACAGCTGTGTGCGACTCAAATCACTGCTTGAGCTCGCTGAATTCGAAGAACAGTTGAGCTGTGCTACCTCCCCAACTGATCTCAACAACATGCTGGCTCGTACGCCCGAGGAGCTGGCATGGTTTGAGGCATTCGACGCCAGGCTTGAGGTAGGCCGCAGATGAGAATGCGGAGTCGAATAAACTTCCGGTCAGCTGTGATGCAGGCACATGATACACGGCTGATGCAGCTCCATGAGATCCCTGAGTGGCTCAAAGACGATCCCCTTGCCCATGACGATGCTGAGACTGTCCTCCTGGATCGTGCAACCAGGCGGGAAAACTGTGCTGTCCGCAACTATGCAGTACGCAAGAGGGAATCGTCGATACGAATGGTTTACTTGTCAGGATGATGGGCTCTCAGAAGCTTCGTGGACTAGCGAGTGAGGAAGATTTTCAAACTCTACCGATCTCACTTTGTGGGACGTTGCTACCCATTTGGGGCAATAGCAGAGCCTATCCTCACGTATTCATCCCGTGGTTCGCGTTTGAAGTGGACCACGACGGAGATTGCGAAAGGAATCGTCAGAGTCCGAAACAGGGAACGTCTATGTAAACTGCCCCACTGGGACTGTCGATCATGCCGACGTCGCTGATTGAATCAGGAGGGGGCGCCGATCAGACCTGTTGTTTGGGGATTCCGTCGGAAAGCCTCCGTTCGGATATACACCAAAAAGACGTGAAGCGACTCTTCGAAACATTCATCTCGCCCTTTGACAGGGCGACTGAGCTCATTGCCAAAAATGAGTGTCATGTGCTAGTGTGGTGCATTACTTATACTAATTTACTATCTTCCATACCTACTATGGCCGGAGTGAGCTAATAAGGCGCTTACGGGCAGTACCAATCAGTCGGGGCACAGTAGCACTGTGGTTAAATATGCACATGGTCAAATAAGTTGGCCGGACCATATCAAGTCAATTGAGAAGAAGTAAAGTTCCCTGTTTGTAGTTTGAAATTCCCTCGAATCGCGTGACTCGTCAGCATGGTGATAATTGGTTACACAACACCAAATAATTTCTAGGCAATCTATAAATGGGTATCTCCTCTCGAATCTTGTGTCACCAGTCACCAGAACACAGTGTTCTGAACACTGGTACAAGGAAATAACCGTGAACAAAGCAGGCATCATCGAGCACGAATGCAAGGATACGGTGACATATAGAACCAATCTAGGGAGAACAAATAAGATCTCGTAGAGGGCCACGAAAACGAGCCGTCGGGTGGTTGTCATGAGTTAGGGGGGATCGGAAAAGATCAAAAAAGAAATGATAAAGGTAAGTCGGTCAACTCCACTCTTGGACATTTACCGCCTTTCATGCGGCTTTGGCGCAGTAGGTAGCGCGTAGGTCTCATAATCCTAAGGTCGCGAGTTCGATCCTCGCAGGCCGCATTGTGAATCAGGTGGTGCTTTTCATTGGTGAAAAGTGTTCACTGGCTCGGAAGGATGTTTTCCATTACTGTGAAAAGTGTTCACTGGCTCGGAAGGACGTTTTCCATTACTGATAAAAATGTCTATCGGCCACGCAGGCAGGTGATCCGATGTATTCGTGATTCAGCCCAGATAGCTCAGTTGGGAGAGCGCCAGACTGAAGATCTGGAGGTCCTCAGTTCGATCCTGGGTCTGGGCATTATTGAGTTTAAGTTTTAGTCGGATGAGTCTGTACTGATCCATT